ACGTATCACATCCTTCCCGACTACAGGAACCCAATTCAGCACGACGAACTTCCTCATAATAGTAAGGCGTCCCTCTGGAAAGGGTGGCGTCTCGTGGGAGTTGTGACGAAGATGTGTCGGGGGACTTCTAGCGGGAGTTGTTAAATTTCCCCGTGATATATGACCACAAACGCGAAAGAAATTACCGGGAAAAGGCACTGATTCTAAAGCCATGCGTAAGAATATACAGAGGTAGCCAAAAACGACACTTAACCCCTCATTTCAAACAGCACCAATCACTTTTAGTAAGCTCAAGTCGACTGCTCTCGACTTATTAAGAACACATCCCAATCTATCAGCAAACAGCTTCCTGCACCAAGACATCACAAGAATTTGCCATGGGAACCTTGTGCACGGTTCGAGCTCAACGTGGTCCTCGACGGACCATGGCGACGTTATCTGAAACGCTGGTCGGAAGGGGTCTTGCATATTCAGAGCTACTGTCCCTAGGAAGCAATCTATCAGTGAACCGATTAAAGAAATTTCGTAGCAGCTTCAGGCTGGAACGATTACGGTAGGCCTTCTTGAGCTCAACGGTGATGGATGACGTCATATTTTGAGGACGGTGAGGGCAGTGGAGGAGGGCCTGCTTCTACTTATGGGAGGACATCTAAGGGATATTTGCCGTAAAACTTTCATCAACAGCGGCACACTGTGCGACGAAAAGTTTATGATGTGCGCCACGGGCCAAAATGTCTCTTTTTTGGCCACCCATGTATTTATTCTTTGGCTGCTTCTTTTGCTCCAGTTCTTCTGGCACAATCTCAGATCCCGCTGCTTAGCTCCTTATTCCTATAGTTTGTCATCCCTAAACGCCTTTTCATATTCGTAGAAACTTTGCAGTTCTTCATCTCTAAAGCAGCTAAGCACAATTCAACAGAATCTTGCAAAGTTTTTTCAAAAAATTCAGGAACTAAATGTCCAAAGACGAAGAGAAGGATGCCCGAAGGACATACCTTCTACGGGTTGCCAGCCACATCCTTGGGTTGAACATCGTCGAAGAGAAACTTCGACAACTTCCACAACCAATCGAGACCTTCTGCGATACAAATTCCACGCTGCTCACTATTGCACTCACTGAACAGGTAAGCGTTCTCTATAAACCTCAACATCACGCCCTCGCAAACTAATATAAAAACGAAACTATACACAGTAATAATGTTTGGTTGTGACAAAAACTTTCGCCCCAATTCGGAACTAAGACCCGCACCTCTCGCCTTCTGGGTAAGTGCGCTACCAGTTACGCTACCGGGGCACCATTTAGGTTTCCACTAGAATGGCTGACCCTAAGGGATGATAAAATCAATCAAGCATATATTTCAATTTTGATAATGACTTGCTCTTGACATTCCACTAGTTTTTAAAGTCTCGCCTGTTAAAAGGTTTTGGGGTCTAGATTTGAAAAATATTCGCAAGGCGAACTGCGTCAAAGAGCAGTGTAGTAAACAATAATAATAATAATAATAATAATAATAATAATAATAATAATAATAATAATAATAATAATAATAATAATAATAATAATAATAATAATAATAATAATAATAATAATAATAATAATAATAATAATAATAATAATAATAATAATAATAATAATAATAATAAATAATAATAATAATAATAATAATAATAATAATAATAATAATTCGATAACCAAATACGTCCACCAAGTAAAAATATTTAAATCATTACCTTCACAACGCTCTTTCGTCTATATCGAGCAGTAGATAAATTCCAACTCCGCAAATTAATGAGTTTGGTAGCCCTTGAACTTTATAAATAGTTTTTCAGAGAGTCTCCATATTTTTTGAACACGCAATTCTATGAATACTGTATCCTATGAAGCCTAACATGGTTCAGCGTGGTGTCGAACTTTCAAACACGATGAAATCGGGTACACTTCTACAAAAGTCGCCCAACTGCACTCACCATGGACAATTACAAAGCGATGGTGAATGTGATGTCGATGAACGGCGCGTCCAATGAGGTGTTCTTGAAGAGCGTGCAGAATGTAAGTGTCAAGTATTATTTTTGATTGTTTCCTTTGTTATGTCATTTGTTCCCATTACTTTACATGAACCCATGAAAGGCTCGCCAGTATGTCATCGGCGATGTTTTTGTCGCGCTCAATTTTTAATCCAATTTTCCAACATTTCACTTACAGGTGTTCAGTAAGGACATTGCTGATTCATTACAAACTACAGCGAATAAGCATCTTATATCGCTTGTGAGCGAACTTGAAGAAAATCTACTGGCGAGTGTCGATAGCGGAAAGGACCGTGGAGAAGGTGCTTATTGATTAGGAGAAGCGACACACACCAAATAACTCTATTCTTTACAGCTGGAGTGGTCGCACTCTCTGATGAGATTCGTGTTTGGAAGTCACGGAGCGGGGCAGCTGCTCAGCAGTACAACGATGCTTTCGAACCACTACAGATCATCATCGACACGATTGAGGTGAGTTTCAGGAAGGAAGCTGACAAGCCTGAAGCCCACGTTTGAGCGCAGACGGGTTTTTTTGAGCAGGTGAAGCGAACTGACATCAGTTCGCGATCGATACCTGTACTTTGCACAGTTGCAGGTCTTCAGTACCTCAGTCCACTTTGCCTCTCTCATGTGGCAATCAGTGAACATCCGAGTCGTGGGAAGTTTTTAAACAACAAGGAATTTCAGGATCGCCCTATCGATGAGCTGATTGGGCTTGTGGAGGCGTTTGAAGACACCTGTGATGCTCTGTGGAACAGTCAGCCACCGTATCCAGAAAGCAGAATGCGTAGTCTTATTCAGTGTATGGGTGAGTTATTGAGAGCGCCAGCTCACTCGAAGAGATGAGGTCAAATTAGGGACTGCGGAACTTGCCTCCCTGAGATTGGCCTCAGCCCTGTGGGTGGCGAATGGATATTCCGAATGTGGTGTAGCTCTTACCTACCAAGCTTGCCTGACTTATGCGCCAAGCAGTTCTGAAGTGAAGGGCAGTGGAGACTAGTACAATCATTACAAATGTATGGAATAAGAATCTGCCATACATTCATCCCGTATTGCTGGGAAGACCGAGGGCGAAACCGACCTTTCTAAAGCACTACGAGAGGGATACTGTAATGTGATGATCGAGCCCGTTATTCCTAGAGAAACGACTACAGGGCAGCCTTTTCTTGGTCGTGCAGAATCAGAGGAAGATAAAACTCTGCTTAATTTCAGGGTCTTACCTATGCGAACAGGTATCTACGAAAATTGATGGAGGGAGGCTGTGGAAGGATCCAGAGGTGATCGAACAACTCAACGCAGGTCGGCAATCTGATATTTAGGTTTTTCTTTATGTCCCAGCCCAAAACGTGGTGTAGCAAAGGTCAACGACTCCAATTTATTGTACAATATTGTATTGCAATCAGATTTCTGTATCTTCGCTCTGTGAGTGAAATAGGAAAGTTTAGTCGCCTCTATGCCTTCTCCTGATTGCTGTGGTCGCAGTCAGCCTTGTCATTCGCAGCATTTACGTACAGGAAATACACGAGAAGGCACGCGTACGTCACTCGTACGCGTGCCTTCTCGTGTATTTCCTCTCCTTGCCACGGAGTGTCTCTCCGTCCTTCTACGGTAAACGTCGCAAGAGGGCTGGGAGGGCCCTCATTTCAGTGTTTCATATGTCTCCTTCTGTTTTTTCTTCACTACGGTTCTCATCGCCGCTGTTGTTGTATTATATTTTCAAGCGAAATTAAACTTCAGTCAATCATCGATACCTATGCTTTGAAAAATAAGTAAATTAAAGGCAGAATTCACGATGAAAAGTTAGCTCAGGAAATATGGGTATAGGTGATCAGTGGAACAGGGATGAAGAACAAACCATTTGGAACTCCGAGAAATGAGACCTCTTCTCGCCCGTATGGAATTTAACGCATGATGCGGACTTCTCCATCGCCTGTGCCCACACTAACTCTCTCTGCTATCTAAATTACTCGCAGCATAAACCTCTGGGGAGTGATTAGATACTCAGTGGGCGTACCCCCGCCAACCGTGCCAGGAGTGAGCCATGCTGTATTGTTGAGGTTAAATCTTCCGCTGCTAATTTGGTGTCAGTCCGCACCCTCAGGAGGTCCGCCTGTCTCCCACTTATGCAATTTCCCCCTTTTTTGACTTCCATTCTTATCGTCGTGAATTCCTCCCTTAGTTAAAGATATGGATTTGGTAAAAAGAATGTGATAAAAATTAACTTACGTTTGCGACAGCACATATACTAAAAAATCGGTGTTCCAAGTATTTCGCAACAATGTACAACAATGGGGAATTTCGTCGGTAGCAAGTTGATGACTGGTCAAACATGGAAACGCCAAGTTGAAGACGCTTGGCAAGGCGAGCCAGTCGATATGAAATATCTACAGGGATTCAAAAAGAGGCTTGAAGAGGTTCGATTGTCAGACTACTATTTCATTTTCAAATTTAAGGAGAGCCAGGTCTCAAGATGAGCCATCAGAGCTGCCACAGTAATTCTTTTGAAAAAAAATTTGGCGCTTAGCAGAGAAGGTAGGAATGATGTGCAATAAGTGCACTAAAGTGATTGGTTTAAGCGGGCACTCCAGTTGACGCAATTGAGCGTGCAGACGTCTCCTTCCGCTCCCATTTTGGCGCTATCTAAATCTTGGAGCCGTCAGATTTCACTTTATTTCGCACTGTGCATTTTTTGCATCGAGCGGCAAGTACTGACGGGGCCTTATTTTTACAACGATTGCCAAGGTCGGTAACAGACTTCGCGAATCCGTTCCCTGGCAAATCGCGGGGTGCGAGCGATGTATCAGCGACGCGACACTGTTTGAAAGCAGCGGGAGTCCCTCCCATTAACACACTGACTTCGCAGCGTGGCTACTATTCCCGACGCGGCCACTTCAACGGGCCAACTTTCAACACTGTTGCTACGCTGCTACCAGTCGTTAAACCGGCTAACAATGTCGTTCGGACCGCTGGTAAAGTCACGAGTATTACGGTTCTTGCGCTGGTCATAAAATCGTGATCTGGCCGCTATTCCGCAAAGTCTGGCACCGCCTTTTAAAGGACGAAATTCCACGCTGGGAAGGCAACCCATTTCAAATTAACCTCAGGGATGGTGACTGGTACACCAAAGAAGGAAGAACCATGAGAAACGGCCCAGAACCCGAGAAATGGGACCCCTTCCTTCCCCGCTGATTTGAGCATTTATGCGACTGTGCCCTCTCCGCCATATCGCTCTCTCACCTATCTAATCAACCGCCATGTATAGATCTGCGGCGAGTGATCAGCTGGTCGGTGGGCGGAGATCGCCAGACCCGCCAACTTTGACGCATAATAGGACGCCAAGGTCAAATTTTTCGATGCGAATTGCGCATCAGTTCGCACCCTCAGGAGGTCCGTGGGTTACTCAACTAGGTGAATTACTTCTTCCTCGACCTCCATTCTAATCGTAAAATCCTCCTTCGCAAAGTCTGACACCGGCTTGTTAATCTTCGTTTCATGGATAAATGTAAACCTTCCTTATTACCTGGTCACCATTAATTGTTGAGTGGAACTCCCGGTAGTCGATGGAGCATGCCATTCAATTTGAATTACTACAGTTGTTACACTGTCGTTATTTTCATTATTCTATATTTTTTCCGCCACTGGCCTGTGTAAGACCTTCCAAATTGCGCGACTGCTTCCGTGATATTGTACCGCTCTCATTTAGGTACTGTCGCTGAAGCAACTGGGCCCGCAGATAGGTTTACTGCTAAACGAACGAGGTGTGGAGGCGGAAGTGGAGAAGACTATTGAGACCGCTATGAGAAATACAGCCGTGTTGGCCTACAATCCATTCACGGAACACAATTGGAAATCGAAAGTGCTGGTGAGTTTTTGATCAGAACCATTCCATGATCATTGTTCTTCTTTCCAACTTCACAGCATACCATGAAGTTTATCGAGAAGTTAAAAATTGAGATCAAAGGGCACTCGCTTCACGACTTCAACACAGCCCAGTTTGAGCGCCACTAGTTTTAAACCCGAGTCAGGGAAGAAGGAGCTTCGGGACTAGAGGCGTGTAGTGCTAAGGACGGGGAGAGATAGCTAGTCATTGCCCTTCGTCGTCAAAAGCTGCAAGCGGCTCAGCCAGTGCAGTCGGACCTCATGAAAACCAAGCTCCGCTTTTTCGTCGAAATCCTCGACGAATGGCGGAACAGTGGAGGACACAGAGGGAACCAGAAAAAAGGAGATCATGCGACAGGATGCTAAATAGAAAAATCGGCTGCTATTCCTGCATTCGCCTTTTTGGGTTCTTCGATTGGCCAATCTAATTGATCATAAAGAGAGATAGAGATGAACTGTAGTCGCTCATTCCCTGTCATACTATTTTTTCGATCTTCTATTAAATGAAATTGCTCTTCCTCCACCTTTAGAGAACATTAACGTCCTGACTACGTAGTTCGTAACACAATGGTAGCTCCTTCAAGGCTTTCGGTTACGATAGATCTCAAAGGGGGCTAGAGGGGACATGGGGGTCTCAAAATTACGCCAATGGCGAAAAAAGCAAAGAAATCCGTCAAAAATAAGCAAAATACCCCTTTGATTGCCCTTTCATTTTCGACCATGGATGAGCGACGGTAAAG